CCTTGTCTCTGGCAGCTCTCTCCCTCCCCGTCCGTTGCGGTAAGCCCACCCTCAGCATTATTTGAACCGGGCATAGTATGACCCCGTTCCTGGGCCCCATCAGGTAGAGTGAGCTCTTTCACCTGCTCCTGGCTTCTCACTTCTCTCCTTTGTAGTAATCACCCCCCTTTCCCTCTATCCTGTGTCACACTCACTTGGTAAAATCTCAATTCTGGATGAACCATGCACCATTAATCTTCCCCATGCTTGCTCTCTCCAAGCAGCTGACTGTTGCTGGAGAACATCTCAGAACCCAGCTGATGCAAGTTTAAGATCAGAAAATTGAAGCAAAAACAAATGGGCACTTAACTGGTGCAGTAATCCAATATTTTCTCATAAAGAAATGATGTAACTTTCTGAGACAACATATTTTTTTACGTCCATGTGCTTCCTATTACCTCTTCCTGGATCTTTATTTTTAGTCTAGTTCTCTCCTTGACCTCTAGACTCACACATTCGATGCCTACTTGGTATCTTTAATTTAAATGTCTCGAGGACACCTCCAAATTGATAAGTCTCAAATGGACTTCCATCAATCTTTTCTCCCTACAGTAGTCAGAATAATCTTGAAGCTTCACCCAGTCATGTTATCCTTGTTTAAACCCCCTCAGTGGCTTCTCATCTTTGAGTGGAGCTCTGAACTCCTGACTGGTACAGGCACTCACTGCTTGGTCCGGCTCCAGCCTCTCCCGCAGGCTGTTCCCTTCACCTTGTTCACGTGTTGGAGCTGTTCTGATCATCTTTCGCTCCTGGGCCTCTAAGTTTCCTTGACAGTTGTGTGCCTTCTGGCTGCCATCTCCCTCACCTTCACTCCCCACTACCCCCACACAGTATTTGCTGTATTAATAGAATCTTATTGTTCTTTGGTTCTGTGTAATGGCCAGTTAAAGGGGCAGATGGGCATGGGAGAGGAATTAAAATTTCAGAACTTAGTGATCAATCGTCAAGTTTAGGCCCCCAGCCTGGGCCTCAGCATTCATATCTTGTGATTGTCCAGCTCAAGCTGGAACAAACAAGTAACAGCTCGACCACATGTATCCCTGGGAAGCAGAATGTTAGAAAGTCTTTATTTCATCTGAAAAAAGCAACTGGTTCAAATATTTATAGACAATAGTTAATTCCTTGTTTGACAAGTTCTTGTTTGTTTTGTCATGTGAGTTGTCTCCCACAGTGTTATTTTTTTTCTAATTGCCCTCCATAAGGACTTAATTTCATGATTTTATTTTCATGTTCTTCTACCTCCTTCCTCAGCAGTTTAGCTCAACCCCTGGACAAATACTTCTCCCCTGATAGTGTGAGCTACACTCTTCCGTGTGTGTGTGTGTGTGTGTGTGTGTGTGTGTGTTGAGAGTGAGTCATTTCTTTTAATTCACATATTAATTCAAGGGATAACAATATTACACACATAGATGAAACCTATGAAGTAAGGAATGATAGGAAACTGTGAATAGAAATTTGCATAAAATAGGGACCCTAAGAAGAAGAAATGTTTTTCCTTTTGAGTTGTATGAGTTCTTTATGTATTTTACATATTAACCCCCTATCAGATTATGAATTGCAAATATTTTCTCCCATTCCTCAGGCTGCCTTTTCATTTGGTTGATAGTATCCTTTGCTGGGCAGAAGCTTTTTAGCTTGATGTAGTCCCATGTATTTTTGCTTTTGTTGCCAAATCTAAAAAATTATTGCCAAGACCAAAGGAGTTTACTGCCTGTATATTCTTCTAGGAGTTTCAGATCTTACATTCAAGTCTTTAATCCATTTTGTGTTGATTTTTTGGGTGGTGTAAGATAATGCTGTCCAGTTTTATTCTTTTGCATGTGTCTGTCCAGTTTTCCCAGCACTGTTTCTCAAAGAGACTATCTTTTCCCCATTACATATTCTTGCTTCCTTTGCCATAAATTAAGTGACCATATATGTGTGGGTTTGTTTTCTGGGTTCTGTATTCTGTTCCATTTATCTGTGTGTCTGTTTCTTTATGCCAGTATCATAATGTTTGATTACTATAACAGTGTGGTATACTTTGAAATCGGGAAGCTTGATGCCTATAGCTTTGTTCTTCATTTTTCAAGATAGCTTTGGCTATTCAGGGTCTTTTGTAGTTCCATACAAATTCTAGCATTATTTGTTCTCTTTCTGTGAAAAATGCCATTGGAATTTTTATAGGGATTGCATTGAATCTATAGATTGCTTTGGGTAGTATGGACATTTTAACAATATTAATTCTTCCAGTCCATGAGTAAACATATCTATTTATTTGTGTTGTCTTCAGTTTCTTTCATTGATGTCTTACAGTTTTTGGCGTACAGGTTTGTCACCTCCTTGGTGAAATTTATTTCAGGGTATTTTAGTCTTTTTGATGCAATTGTTAATGAGGTTTTTTTCTTTCTCTTTCTGATGGTTTGTTATAGTGTATAAAAGTGCAACAGACTTTTATATATTAGTTTTGTATCTTATGACTTTACTGAATTAATTTTTGGTAGAGTCTTAGAGTTTTCTATGTAAAATATCATGTCATCTACAAAGAGAGGCACTTTTACTTCTTCCTTTCAGATTTGGATGCCTTTTGTTTATTTGTCCTGCCTAATTGCTGTGGCTCAGATACTGTGTGTTGAATAAGAGTGGTGAGAGTGGGCATCCTTGTCTTTGGTATTATGTTCCCTCTATACTCACTTTGTTGAAAGGTTTTTTTAAAAATCATAAATGATGTTGAATCTTGTCAAAAGTTTTTCTGCATCTATTGATATGATTGTATGAGTTTTATCTTTCATTTTGTTAGTGGATGTATCATGTTGATTTGCAGATGTTGAACCATCCTTGTATCCCTGGAATAAATCTTCTTGATTGTGATATATGATCCTTTTAATGTATTGTTGAATCTATCATTCTTATTTTTGAAATTATGTTCCAGATGGCCCAGTCTTTGTCAAAACTGTCATCATATTAGAGTCAATAGTACAAGAAGTACTAGTACCAGAAAAAAGAAGTGATAAATAAAACAAAACAGGAGTGTTCTAATGGTTTTTTTAAATTAAACTTTTTTATTATTAATTTGAGGGGGGTAGAGAGAGAAACATAGATTTATTGTTCTACTCATTTACTAGTATGCATTTATTGGTTGATTCTTGTTTGTGCCCTGACCAGAGATCGAACCTCCAACTTTGACATATCAGGATGATGCTCAAATTTAAAATGCCTTCCAATGTTGCAAACTTTCAGTTATAAAATGAGTAAGTTCTGGGGATTTTATGTATAGTATGGTGACTGTAGTTAATATACTGTATTGAATATTTGGAATTTGCTAAAAAAGTAGATCTTAAGTGTTTTCACCACAAAAAAAGTAACTATATGAGGTGATGGATATGTTAATTAGCTTGATGTGGTATAGTATACCACATTTCACATAGTATAGGTACATCAGATCATCAGATTGTAATATATATACATATATATGTGTATACTAGTTTGTTTGTTAATTATACCTTAATCCGGGGGGAAAGTAATGCCTTCAGACCTCCTCCGGGCCCTTGATGGTGTTCTGACTTCTTTCTGTGCATCAGCAGTGTTGCGTTATAGTCAGTGGCTCTGCTCTGTCCTCATGGGCTCTTAGTGGCAGCCAGAAACACTGAACACTATTGACTGAGCTGAGTCTCTCAATAGCCACGTCCTTGTTTTTCAGCAAGGATTCCAATCTTGTGTATTTATGTAGATGACCATGTTGTCACTCAGGAATTCCACATGGAAAGATCACATTTGAGGGGTGAAGATAATGAGTTTGAGATACTCACTATTCGTGCAGAAATACCCAGCAAGCAGTTGAAATTTAAAGACTAAAGCTCAAGAGAGAGATTGAGATATAGACCTTATCTACCTATAAGTGATAATTGATGCCATGGGAATGGATGAGATTGCCCACTGAGAAAAGAGGGCTTAAGGCAGAAGCTTGGTGAACACCTTCAGCTTAAGAGGCTACTGGAAAAATGAGGTAGAATATCCGAGAAGTGGGAGGAAAAGGTGATGGATAGAAACCAGTAGAAAAGAGAGCCTCAGAAAGAGTTGTACTTGATATTTAATGCTTTTATGGAGTGAGAAATGATGTGAGTTAAATAATTAACACTTACGTTGTACTATGATGCCATGTTTGTACAAGGATCTAGCTGTAATTTTTAGTTATTTTGTTTTGCATACAGTACAAGGTGAGGCAAACGTTTATAGTTGTTCCTATGGAAAATGCCATAATTAATAAATAATAATACAGGAATAAACTCTGCTTCACGTGCTTACAACTGTAAACCTACTTTTGTCCCACCCTTATTTGTTGTGAGTTGTAACAGAAATTATTTTTGAATTTGACTTTGTAAGTGAAGTGGTTTTTATTAGCCATCATTTAAAATTACTCTTAAGATTTTTTTATTATGTCATGGAGAACATTCAGCGGATATATTTAAGTTCTAAGGATGTGAAAAATAATCAAAATTCATTTGAAATACACAGTAACTAAGTATAGAAGACAAATGATAATGGATGGCTATTGACAATTAAACTTGCTGACAGTTCAGCTGTGTATAGCCCTTCTTCCAATGTTGATTGATATATTCAGCATTATAGGGATATAAAAGATACTTTATTGTTGCCTTCTTAAAAATTCTCAATGAAAGGCTGATATTTATTGTAAAAATGTGTTTCTTTAGAATGTAACCAAAGAAGTAAAAACTATCTATTAGGAGAAAAATTTTAAAACACACATATTTTACTTTTTAAAAATGCTAGATTTAAAATTTAAAAATACATTAACATTTGAGAGCCTTCACAATGAAAATGTTTTGTTCAGCCTCTTCTCAACATAAGAAGCAGAAGACAGTGGAATAATGTCTTCAAAATACTAAGAGAAAATAATAATCCAGAATTTTTTGCCTGATTATGCTACCATTCAAGAATGAGGACAAATGAAAGATGATTTCGGATGTAAAAAGACAAGTTTACCTTAAAAGTGACTTTACCCTTAATAGATCCTCATTGAAAGACCTTCTAAAGGATGTAGAATACGGAAGAAGGAAATGAAACACAGAAGGAAAAGTAAGTTGTGAGGCGCGTGATGGTTACATTTATGTCACCTTGACTGGGCCACAAGGTAGAGATATTGGTCAGACATTGTTCTTGGTATTTCTGTAAGCTTGTTTGAGACGAGATTAACATTAAACTTGTTAGACTGAGTAAAGCAGATTAAAGCAGGTTGCCCTCCCCAAAGAGGGTGTCCTTCATCTAATCAGTTGAAGGCCGAATAAACAAAAGATCGATTCTCCTCCCAGTAAGAGAATTCCTCTTGCCTGGCTGTCTTCAGAGTGGGACGTTGGCTTTTTTCCTGCCTTGGGACTCAAACTGAACCATTGGCTCTTCTTGGGTTTCAAGCTTGTGATAAGCTCTCCATCTTGGTGAATTGCCCTGCAGATCTTGGAAGGTATCAGCCTCTATAATCATGTGAGCCAGTTCATTCTAATAGCTATCTTTACACACACACACACACACACACACACACACACACACCCTTATTGGTCTGTTTCTCTGGAGAACCGGTAGGGGCGCACAGGGTAACTAGTTAGGCTTATTTATTTTATTATTTTTGAAAATATATTTTTATTGATTTCAGAGATTTCAGAGAGGAAGAGAAAGAGAGAATCATCAGTGATGAGAGAGAATCAGTGATTGGCTGCCTCCTACTAGGGATCGAGCCCACAATCCAGGCCTGTGCCCTTGACCAGAATCGAACCCAGGACCCTTCAGTCTGCAGGCCGACGCTCTATCCGCCGAGCCAAACCAGCTAGGACTAGTTAGGCTTATTTTTACTTCTTTTGTAGGAAACAGCTGATAGAACATTTCACAAGTCAGAATATTTCTACATGAAACAGAGGTCTTTGGCACAAGGTTTTTCTTTATATTCGTTCTTGCCTAGTCCCCCTCTGTCGTCCTTCCCTCTCTCCCTTCATCAGGTACAGTAAGTGTCTAGTACGTGCCAGACATGTTAAAGGAGATGCTAGATCTCACACTTAGGAGACGCTCAGAATAAGCAACCAGTTACTAATACAGTGCAGTGAATGCTAAGATGGCTATGATCTCGGGTGCCTGGGAGGCATGGACACAGCACCCAGCTCAGCTTTAGGAGGTCGGAGAAGATGTTAGCAGAATCGGTGGTCAGCAAAGGAGTATTAGCATTTCAGGTGGAGAAAATGAGACCCGGGCTCTGAGAGTGAGCCACACTGAGGCACCTGCACTGTGCGCCTGGCGAAGTCAGTGACCTTCCACCCTGTGTCCCAGCCCCATGTGACGCTTACAGCAGCAGACTGATGGTCTGGGCGGGGAGGAGACATCACCCAGGTCATAGCTTGGGGACTGCTACTCTTCGCTGGGTGTTTCCTTTTTTAAAAGACGAGATCTTGTTAAGTCAAATGGATCCCAGTGGAGCCTTTCAGGCCGCTGGGTTGGGGAAGAGAAATTTTCTTTTTTTTTTTTTACTTATTCACTCACAGAACCCTTTCACTATTTACATAGTCTTTGTACCAGAATAGTCGTCCTCTTTTCCCTTTACAGTGGAGGTCTTCTTTTTAGAACTTGATTATCTTAAATTTGTATAATGTCGTAACCTTGGCTGTATAATCTTCTCACTTGGTTTTCTCTAGAGTTTAAGAGAAGGGACTAATCTTTCTCTTGTGTTCTTGTGCTGGTCACTTCTGCACACTCCTTTCTGTTGGAGTTTCTCAGCATTCCATGTAGGTTCCCTAGCCGTTACGTTGCTCTCTTCCTTTCCGAATGTTGAAGCGCTCTTCACGCTGGTGCTTCGTGCTACCTTGTGAACATTTCATTCTGGGCCAGGCATTCAGAGCACCTCAGTACATTCAGAGGTGCTTCAAGATTCAAGACCAAAATGTTTGGTTCTATTCTATTTCTCTGCGGTACTTAGTATGTTGCTGAATGTCTAAGTTATTGTGCATTAAGGTGAGGATTCCATAATTGTTCCTATTGAGAATTGTTTGGTTCTCGTCAAGGAGTCAATACTAGTAAAAGTCGCAGACTATTTCTGGATTTGATAGGAAAGGCCATACAGGGGAAAAAATTGAAGTTAAGTTTTTCTATAATACAGTATTTTTCAGCTTTATTGGGTATAATTGTCAAATTTGTAAGGTATTGTAGTACAATATTTTTTATTATATATGATTTCACATTTTCGTGATAACTTCAAGTAAGTTTTTCCTGACACTGTGACTAATAAATGCAAAGAAGTCAGAGGTGATGTCCTCTTCTAAACTTTAAGGTAAAAAAAAAAATTTCTGAATTTGAGCAAAATTGCTATTGACATATTTTATGGTTCATAATTATATAGATGTTTTATGTCTTCACTTAATACATTGCTTCAAGTACAAATAACTGGTATTAAATTTTGCCACTTGATCACCAGCCATAGTCATCATTCCTCTTGTGAAATGTGGGGGTTTTAGCTGTTAGCATTTTTATTGTTCAAGTTATTTTTTATACAGGAAGGAATAAATGGATAAAAATAAGCATACTATAGTATTAAATGATTATGAAAACCCCTTTTTTCCTTTTTCTGAACAATGAACACGGCTTCTTTGAACAGGAACTTGCACATCTTATTCTTGTTTATCATTGCATATTCTGTTCTTACCGATACAAACGTCTTGAGACCTTTCACACGTGGTGGTTTGGGGGAACAGGGGCATTCTTTTTGCTCATACAGCCTGTTGTTGGAATTTGTTTGGATTGTGCATAGAACTTGTTCTTAGTGGATGGAGATTCCTTTAAGAGATAGATTGTGCTCCGTGGTTGCACCCCTTGCTGTCTCTTTTAGTCTTAGACGTTGTGACCATTACTGAAAGGCTGTCCTTCTAAGTGGACAGTGACATTGTCAGAGAGAAAGGGTGAGACTAGGGAGCTGTTGGGAGAGGGGACACAGGATGTGCTGCCCAGCTCTGGGTGGGTTTCATGACCGTCAGCATAGAGTCCCCGTGTCACCAGGCTGGGTCACTAGCACAGGACAGGCTGGCACCCATAACACTAACGGAAGGGAATGTATTGGAGGCACCCAAGAGTAGAGGAATTTAAAGACTTTTTCACATAAACATAACTCTTGTGAGGTAAGAATTTTATCTCAATTTTACAAATAAGTAAAAATGGAAGATTTGGACCCCAGGTCTTGCTGGTCCCTAACTGTGTTGTTTCCTCTTTACCACACAGTGAACAATAGGAAATCAGAGGGAGGTCAGGAACGTCACAGAATAATGATGTTTCACAGAAGACAAGTATATAGATCTCTTTCTATATTCTTTTTTTTTTATGTTGTTACTGTTTTTTTTTGTGGGTTGAGAGAGAGAGAAGAAGAAGGGAGAGGGAGAAAAACATTGATATAAGAGAGAAACATCAATCAGTTGCCTCCCACATGCACCCCGACCAGGGATCGAACCCACAACCTGGGTATGTGCCCTGACTGGGAATCGAATGGTGACCTTTTGGTGCACAGGACAACGCTCAACCAACTGAGCCACACTGGCCAGCGCTCTGTAGATATTCTTGATCCTGCATTTTCCTCAAGGTTTGTGCAGCAGTGTATTTTGACACATCACAAATGAAGCACTTAAAACAAGTTCTTTGCGCCTACTTGGATATAGTATTGGAAATTTTCCCAAGACACTGAGGTTATCCGAACACATCACCTAAATGCTTATATTTTAAAACAGCATAGTAATCGGTGAAACAGACAGATATCACTGAAAGTAAAGTGTTTCACAATTTCAGAGTTTCACAATGCCTTGACTGTTTCTTTCAGTAGTTGACTACTAAAGTTTAATTTGATTAAGAAAGAACTAAAGTGTGTAAGGGAAAGGGTGAATCATAGTTGTAGACAGTATTCGTCATGACAAATTATGAAATCGTTGGTCACCCACTTATTGTGTATTAAGAGACCTCTGGTAGCAAATATGTTTTCATTGTTGTCCCTCCCCATGATAATGAGAGAATTTGGGGAAAGATATTTAAGTGGAAATGATAGATGTAACATTTCTCTGTAGTTGGTGGCATCTGCATTTTAGTTTCTTTAAGTAATGTAAACATTTCATTTCTTTTAGTAAACAGTGTGCTTTCAGGGAAAGCAAACATTTCCCCACTGGTGTCTTTTTTCACAGTTTATTTTTTATTAATACTTATTTAATGTTCTTATTACTTACTTGCTTCCAGTGCTACTCTTTTGGCTGCCCCCCCCCCCCCCCACCCCCCTTCTCTTCCCCCCCTTTCATTTTAACCTGTTATAAATGCACGGACGAGGAATGGGAAGAACAGCCAGGCACAGGGTCTCAAGATTTACAAAGGGCGTCAGAGCCATGATGCTCATATTTGCAGAATCAAAAATCGAGGCGCTTGCCCTAACCACTTCACATGTATTTGAGGGCACTTGAAACGAGCTATTCCCCCAAATCTAGGACAGTGACCATGTGATTTGTAGGCCCAAGGGATAGTCTTGGTGTGTCCCCTCAGACAGGAAGAGTAGTAAGTTAATATGTATCCTAATGCGGAATTAATTGTAGAGTAATTTTTAACAATAAATGTAAATTAGAGGAATAATCTATTTATTCTAATTGTTATTTTAGCTGTTATAACTTTCAGATGCAGGCCCAAAGTGAAGTTTTCTAATTTCCTTATACTTACTAAGAAATTTGTTCAAGCATGCTCGAATTTTTTTTTCTTTTTCTTTTTTTTTTTTTTTAAGCATGCTTGAATTTCAAGAAGACCACTTGGTAGCTGAACAGAAGATTAGTTTGCCTTCCTTACTTACCCCAAGCAAAATCGTCTCCTCCTGGAGGCGGTGAGAGGTGGGGCGTGGAGAGATGAGTAAAGGCAAATGAATGAGCGAAATCGGGTAGCTCATTCTCCTGGGTTTCTGGGGCCGGGGGGGGTCTGTTTGCCTCTTCTTCCTCCTCTCTTCACCACCCTACACTGGATATTACAGTCTTCTTTATTCTTGTCACTCTGTAAACAGGATTTTCCACTTTTAATTTGGGTTACAGGGGCACCTTTCTCCCTGTACAGATGAGGATTTAGATTCCGGGTAATGTCCTTTCTGGGTGTATTCATAGCTCTGCTGTCAGTGAGCTGCTTGATGTGCTTCAGAGAAAGAGTTGATTGGTTTTATTTATCTTTACTTCAGAAAAAAATTAATGTGTTTTTTCCTTTTCCCTTTAGTTGCTGATCATCTGGGCTGTGATCCTCAAACCCGGTTCTTTGTCCCTCCTAATATCAAACAGTGGATTGCCTTGCTGCAGAGGGGAAATTGCACATTTAAAGAGAAAATATCACGGGCGGCTTTCCACAATGCAGTTGCTGTCGTCATCTACAATAACAAGTCCAAAGAGGAGCCGGTCACCATGACTCACCCAGGTAACAAGCAAAGGCGGCGGGAGATGTGCTTTCCTCCTAGAAACCATCGCCTCATAGGCAGGCCTTCCTCTGCTGGAACCATATCGTTCTCAACATCATTCTGTGATATATTGATTTTTGGTATTACCATTTGTCTTTTCCCCTTAGCTGAATTTTTTTTCTTAAATAATGGCCATAAGAACCTATAAAACTTGTACTTACTAAGAAGCTGGCTGTGATGGAATCATTAGTCATTTTACATTTCTACATTTCGCTTGGAGGCTTTGAAAAATAACGTATTAGATTTGGAATCATTCATCCAGGTATCTCATAAATTCTCAAGGCTTACTTCTTTGAGAAGATGCTTTTATCTTGTCAGAATCAATTTTGAAACTGACTTAGGTATAGCATAATTACAGTTGGAACAATATGATTAATTTCCTGCAGAAACATTTAGGGTATTTCTAATGTAACTGTTTTAATAACAATAGTTTTAATTTATTGCCAGGCACTATAATATGAGCTAAATAGACTTTATTTTTAGAGCAATTTTAACAATAGGAAAAGGATTTATATTATAATTAGATACATAGAAAGTTAGAATAATGTGGGAAAGTAAATTGGTGCAATACTTTGGAGGGAAAGTTGGCACTATCTGATATAGTAAAGAACTCAGACATTGTAGTTCTAGGTACATACTCTAGAGTACTTTTCAAACTTAAATATGCTATCAGTCACCTGGGAATCTCATTAAAAAGCAAATTCTGGTTCAGTAGATGTGGGGGACAGCATGAGCTTCTGTGTTTTCCATGTTTCCCGGTGATGCTGATGCCACTCTGGTCCCCAGATCTCGCTTTGAGAAACAAAGAAGGAAAGACAGGAACATGGGTTTTAAACCCAGACTTTCCACCACCTTCCTCGGGGACATGGGCCAAGTGGCCTCCTGAGTGGGAAGGCCTCTGTGACTCTGAATCTAACTGTGTGTCAGGCGGCGAGTCTCTGTTGTGGAGGACAACCGCAGAACGTCTTTCTGTGCCGAGAAGCACCTGCTTTCCTGGCTCAGGAGTGCGTCACAGCTGCTCTTGCCCTTCTCCTGTAGGACAGCGCGGTCCACGCGAGGGTTACGGACCCTGGCCTCAGAGCCGCCTCGCCCAGAGGTCCCTGTGTAGCCCTCCCTTGCTCCCGTGTCAGTTGTCGCCCCTTCATTTGAGTAAAGAAAGCTTTGTGCTGTGCATTCTAAAGTGAACTGGCAAGAGCTGGGAAAAGACGCCCGGGTCGTGTCCCGTGAGTTCACCACCCAAGGCCCCAGCAGGCTCCGGAGGGCCTTTCTGTGCCTCTTTGACAATATGTTCCTTTTCCTTTCATGTCGTCATTATTTGTATACTTGATAGCAGTATGGAAAGTATTGCAGGGTTCTTTAAAGTTTGTGTCTTACTTTCTATTCTGTGCAGTAGTCAGCAGCATACCTGGAACAAAATAAGTGTCCTGCACGGAAATGATTTCATAAAGACGTAGTTTTGTTCAGTTTTCCTTGAGTTTAAGATACATGTGATACACTGATGTTCAGATTCCACGTTGTGAAGTGTAAGTATTTTGTTTTCTTGCCTGGTCGACGTTTCAGGAGGTTGCTCATGTTTGTTCTCGTCAGTGCCCTTCACCTGGTGCCTGAAGGACATTTCCCAATGCGGTGCTGTGACATCACTGGCAGGAAGGACACTCAGTTTGTGGTTTCATTTGTTAAGCAGAATGAGTTAGTGGGTATGTGGTAGGATAAAGGGGAAGTTATAGGCTCTTGGAGAGTTTAAAATAATGCACATTTGGGGAAAGTTAAGGATTTATTTTCCTGGTTTTAAAAAAGTGTATATAGATTTTACTGTTATTTAACAGTCTTAAATTTGTCAAATTATTGTCGAATTGAAAATCTCGTAGTTTTATTTGTGTCTCTGTAATAATTTATAGATATTCTTTTCATTGTTTAAAGAAAAGTGAGGTAATTTAGATAAACATGTAGCCAGATAATGATGTTGCTTTTCTGTCTTCTTCAATCAGCAGTATCAAATGCTTTTTATTGTTTCTTCAGCTGGTTGAACAGAATTGCTAGTTGAGTGCCTCTTCACCTTTTTTCCATCTTATTCTCTTAAATGTATTATCTAGTAGTGACTAGAAAATATAGAATATTCACTAAGTGAATATAAAAATCACACTTTATGAAAGCAAGATAAATCACAAACACTTGGCAAAACACCTTTAATATCAATAATTTGGGCTACTTAATATAAATCTGTTACCTTTATTCTAAAAGCCCATCAAGAAAATGAGTAACATAATAGTCATACTATTGTTTTATACTTTAAAGCTTTTAGGTTCTAATTGAATGTGGATTTAATTACTTCAGTAAAGGTGGAACCTGAAGTATAAATGTACTGCTGTGGCAGGAAGTAAGAGTTTAAATTTTATGTATTCTTTTTGCTTTAGTTTACAGATATTTCTACTTTATCTTCTATGTGATCCATATATTTTTTTAAAATTCATAATTATTCCCCAAGTTTTCTAAAACTGAATCACTTAGGTAGTTGCTTTAAAAAAATAAAAATAGCTTTTAAAAAATAACTGCTGATGGTTTTGTTTTAAAACTTTTGCATAAGCTCCGAATTTTTCTTTTAAGTCTCTAAATCTTAGGTGGATGTAGAGAACCCCTACCTCTGTCAGATACTTGAGATGGTTTTTCTACAAGCCTTCCTCTGACTTAGAGATTGCAGGCTCTGCAGTCCTGAGCGGTTGTTGGAACTCATCTCCTGATTTACCTTTTTATCTTTCGTGCTACCCTTTCCTCTCCTGCAGCAGAAGAGGAGGGAGCCACAGTGATATAAAGGGTCTGGGTTAAGAATACTGACTGAGGAATCAGCCCGGTAGGGTACAGGTTGGAAGACGTTTTTCACTTCATAGCTGTTCACATGATGATGACCCTGGACTTTATGCTACACCCTCAGCGTTAGTCCCACTGGCACAGGTGCTACGGAAGGTGATGCGGCCTGGCTGCGTGTGTTAGAGGTCTGGTGGGGCTCCCTTACCCCGGGATTGATGCCTTAGAGTGCGCCTCAATTCAGGTTTTTCTTGAAGGGGGTGCAGATAAAGAGGTATTTGGGGCAGGATATTCTTTGCTCTGCAGGAAGTTTGCATTATAGAATGGTTAGCCTCCCAAGGCCCATGCCTCAGACCAGTGGCCTCCCGCCATGTTTGTTGCAGTATAAAACCCTCCCCATAGATCCCAGACCGACGCTCCCTAGGAAGGCTTTCTGCCCCTGCTGAGACCCTGTCAGACTCTAAGTCTAAGGAGCCTTTAGAGCAGTGGTTCTCAACCTCGGCTGCACATTAGAATCACCTGGGAATCTTTTTAAAATCCTGATTTCTGGGCCACATCCTTCGGAAATTCTGTTTCTTTGTTATGGGGTGGGGCCACAACATTAGTAACAAAGAAACAGAATTTCGGGAGGATGGGGCCCAGAAATCAGGATTTTAAAAAGATTCCCAGGTGATTCTCATGTGCAGCCAAGGTTGAGAACCACTGTGTTAGAGGAGGAATGAAAGGGGGCCCCTCATGGGGCAGGAGAATGGGATAGGCTTTGTATTTCCCACTTACTAACATTTCTGGAGTTCTCAGTCCCATCTTGTCATTTCCCTTTCTACCCAGATCATTTTTTTAATCATTTCTTGCAATGCAGATCTTTTTTTTTTTAATTGATTTCAGAGAGGAAGGGAGAGAGAGAGAGAGAGAGAGAGACATCAATGATGAGAGAGAATCATTGATCAGCTGCCTCTGCGCGCCCCCTACTGGGGGTTGAGCCTGCAACCTGGGCATGTGCCCTTGACCAGAATCGAACCCAGGACCCTTCAGCCCACGGGCTCATGCTCTATTCACTGAGCCAAACCAGCGAGGGCGCAGTGCAGCTCTTGCTGGTGATGAATTTTCTCATCATTTATCTGAAAATGTCCTTTTTAAAAAACATATTTTTATTGATTTTTTTTTTTTTTTAGAGAGAGAGGAAGGGAAAAGGCGATAGAGATAGAAACATTGATGAGAGAGAACATCAGTTGGCTGCCTCCTGCATGCCCCTCACCAGGGATTGAGCCCACAACCCAGGCAGGTGCCCTGACCAGGAGTCGAACTGGTGACCTCTTGGTGCATAGGTAGATGTCAACCACTGAGCCACACCGGCTGGGCTGAAAATGTCTTTTTCCATCATTTTTCAGCACTTTAACGTGTTGTTGTTTTTCTTGCCTCCTTTTTTTTTTATGAGAAGCTGTTCTCTTTTATAATACCTTTTTTAAATAAACTTTATTTTTTACAACAGTTTTACAGTAGAAAAATTGCAAGGATCCTACAAAGAATTCCCACAGACTCTGCACCCCGTTTCCCCTGTGATTAATATCTTAACATAGTGGTACATTTGTTATAATTACGAACCAGCATCGATACGTTATTATTAACTGAATTGTATACTTCTTTCAGATTTCCTTCGTTTTTATCGAATGTCCTTTTCTGCGCCAGGAGCTCACCCAGGGCACCACTTGACATTTAGTGCTGTGTCTCCTCAGGCTCCTCTCGGCTGTGACGGTTCCTCAGACTCCTTTTGCTTTGCTGACCTACTATACATACTTTTATGGAGTACTGTTCAGTGATTGTATAGACTGTCCCTCAGTAGGGACTTATTTGATGTTTTTCTCGTGATTAGACTGAGGATATGGTTTTGGGGCGGAAGACCACAGCGGTGAAGTGGTCTCATCACAGTGGGTCCAGGGCACGCCCTGTCCACATGAAAGATCACCTGGCTGAGGCGTGTGTCGGGCTGCTCCGCTCACTCCACACGGTCCTCTTGGGAAGGAGATAACTATACACAGGGAGCTACCCCCTCCCCCTTAGGGCAGGGTATTTATACTTATTTGGAATTATTCTGCACAGATGATTTGTTCCTTCTCCATTTATAAATTTATTCAATCATTTACTTTTATATCAGTGTGAA